GTTTACTTTATTATGAGAACAGACTTTTATCCTTACATGGAATAAGAAATCTAAATCTATAAGTGTTTCTACCAAAGTTAAACTCACCAATAGTGTACTTCACAGATGCTGTAACATCTACTTGCAGTCAGAGTAAATCATTAAACTATGTGTTATGCTCAGATGCGATCTGCCTAGCAACACTTGGCCTCCTCCAGAGATCTAGAACTCGCTCTGAACTTATTTACCCCAGATTTTTCAGCTGGTTGTTGCTCGCTCTGTCAAGATTTCTGTTCTACAATAGATTGCTGCTAAACTGATGACACTTTCTCATAGGGAAGAAAAAAAGAAAAAAAGAAATAATAGAAAATGAAAAAAGGTGTATATAATAAAAACTAATATATTAAAGAAAACAGATACTAATACTAAGGAATATAAAAAAAACTAAACTAAAACCTAAAAGAAACTATTGCTAAAAAAAAGAAAACCTGCTACTCAGGCAAAAACCTCTAATTTTACAGAGTCACAATCTACTATTAAGTGCGAGAGTCTTGACAAAAAATTTAAAACTAAAATAAAATGCTTATAACTCATATCAGAGGTTAAAAATTATATACAGATAACTAGAGGATGCCTGTATATCTCTTTTCACTTTGTTTTACTCTTTCAATTAAATCCATATCTTTATCTAAAAGTATAAAAATTTTGAAATCTCTATGTGCTCTATCCAATAATCATGTGTTTATATGTTCTCAACAATACGACACATAAGGTATTCTTCCGAACACTTATCCAGTTACTAAATTTGCCAGCACCATCCATTTTATATATGTTGTTTATCATCATACAGAGATTCCTAATATAGAAGTGGTAAACATTGCCAATCTTTTGGAGAGGGTATGTCGAATTTCTCACTTTTTGTCAAAAATTATAGCCAAAAATATCAAAAGAAAAAATACCATATTTGTGAGAGCTCAAGACAATGAAAGTATTTCTAGTTGTTCTTGTAGAACTAAAAAGCTTTAGACACTTGAGTTAGAAGTTTTTTACCACTACTGTTATTAAAATAACCTTTTGGCTTGGATGTGAACATATGAGGGAGTCCACCAAAAAGAAAAGCTTGACTCAGAGCACAAACCAACTATATATAACCTGCTTTTCAGTGTTTCATATATAAGTCTTCATTGACAACAGTACCAATAAAAGCCTCAGATATCTTTAAACTTTTTAGAGCCTTGAATCTTCAAACTGTTTTGGCGTTGTCTTGGTTCAAGTGATCATTGGAGAGAGTTAATTAAACAGATATTGAAAAATTTTGTTTATTAAAAGCAATATATAATATTTATAATTACTATACACTATAATTTAAGTTTTAAAAGTTATAATTACTAATTCTAAAATTTTATTATATATTTTACAGATTTTTTTAACTCAATAAAAATTATAATTTAGGCCACACAAATTTAATATATTGGTTTTCATAACATGAAACTTTTAAACAGACTTGGCTGGCCAGCTTTTTTTTTTAAATTTCATATTTAAAAATTTATAAAATTTTTTTAAAAAAATTTTAAAATACTCACCTGGTTATTAAAACATACAAAAATTTTTTTTTACAAATTTTCAAATTTTGATCCAGCCAGGTTATGAAAACCAATTAATTAAGTTTGCATGGCCTTAAATAGTTTTCTAAAATTTTTTAAATTTAACTAAAATTTTTATAATTTATATTTAAAATTTTGCAATATTTTGACGAACTACTATAAAGGCTAGATCTAGAAAACAGATCTGTAAGGTAAGTGAACCAAGCAACAAAAACTAAGGACTAATACACCAACTAAACTGCTGAGTATATTATTACCAGAGAAAAAAAATAAAATTCAGTACTATATATTAGAAACGGATTATATTTCTTTTGGGTTATCTGAATTGAGAGCTTGGAAAAACTTGTAAATAAAATATTAAAGTATTACAAATATGCTATAAAGTAGAAATTAAGATTTAAGTAAATTTTATAAAATTAGAAACTAGTAGTAAAAGATAGTAAAGAACTAGTCACTAACTAGTAGTATATTTTAATATATATTTAGTTAAAATAATTAAAAAAATATAAATAATTAGAGAGTTAAATAGATAATCTTCAAGTAGATTACAGATATGGTAACTAGTATAGAACTTTTGGACAAACTATTTAAATAGATACCTAAAAGTTGTATATATAGCTAGATTGTATCCTTATTATAATATTAAATTGTAATTCTATATAATTAATAACAAATATCAATAAAGCTTGGTCCCAAAGAGTATTTTTAAAAATAAAAAATTTTTTATTTAATTTAAAAATTTAATTTAAATTAACAAGATTAAATAGTATACTATGGGGTTTGGATTTTGTAGCTTATTGATTAAGCTCTTAAACTTCTATATACAAGGTTGATAATTTAAATTTGGCAGAAAGCAAATTAATTAATTTGCTTCTATAACCTTAAGTCCAAGTATAGATATAATGCTAAAATAGAAATTTCTAGAAGGAGATTCAAATATAGAGAGTGATCACTATATATAACTATAGTATTATAGAAAACTGCAGCTATAAAAATTGTGTAAATAAGTCTTTAAGATAGGACAGCATCAACATCCTTGTATTTCTGGTTTAGATAGTACTAACATTTCTAAACCCAACTTGTGAGTATTTGCTTAGAAGAATAGTTAACAGATAATGTGAATAAGTCTATATTTGAATTTAAAATATAGGTACTTGCTTGAAAAAATGATTATCTAACCAAATATTAAAGTAGTAAAACAGTAACAGCATGCAGTACATAATTTTCAGATCCAAACTGCAGATCAGGCTCAGAAACCTAATAAAATTTAAAAATTTTAAACTATTAAATAAAGATATTTCAAAGACTACCTAACTAAATTCGATAAAAAAATTTATTTAAATTTTACAAATCTGTAGAATTCAAATAAAATATTGTCGCAGATTAAAATAAAATCAAATTAAAATAAAATTGAAAACCTTTCTTGCTCACCCTTACAGTTTATAAAACACATATATACTCTTTTTTTAATAACTCTAACTTTAAACTCTACCCCTAATACTGTACTAAAAAAAAACTCTAAAAATTTTCTCTTAAAAAATTTAAATTTTTTTTAAAAAATAAAAATTTCGTTTTAATCTGATTTTATTTTAATTTATTACAAATATTTTTTTTGAATTTGGTTAAGTAGCCATCAAGATATCTTTGCTCAATATTAAAAAAAAATTTTTTTCCTTCGACAATCCTGTTTACTTTATTATGAGAACAGACTTTCATTTCTACATCAGCATACGAAGAAATCTAAATCTATAGTGTTTTAACCAAAGAGTAAACTCACCCACGGCATACCTTGCAGATGCTGAAACATCCACTTGCAGTTAGGATGAACCATTAAACTGCTGTGTTTTGTCCAGATGCGACCTGCCTAGTAACACTTGGCCTCTTCCAGAGATCTGGAACTTACTCCAAACTTATTTTACCCAGATTCCTCAGCTGGCTGTTGCTCGCCCCATTAAGATTCCTGCTCTACAATAGAATGCAGCCAAACTGATGACACTTTCTCATAGAGAAAGTAAAAAGAAAAAAAGAAGAAGTAATAGGGAATGAAAAAAAAGAGTATATAATAAAAATAAATATATCAAAAAAATGATTACAGTCTTTGCGATTTCAGCAGTTATACAGGGAATACCACCACTCGTAATTATAGTACTTCTATCTGATCAAAAAGAAACTTTACCAAAAATAATTGAAGAAAACAACTTGGTTGTTAAGCATTTAAATTGCGTTGATGCAAAATTAGTTAAATTATACTTTGATGATACTTCTCATGATTGGAATTAGCTAGGTAGAATGTATTTTACTAATTATGAATTTTAAAATAAGTTAGGATTAATTAAGGTATTTTTAAATTTTTATATAAGTATTTTATTATTGCAGACATATAAAGAATCTAATACTTTTTTTAATATCTATGCAAGAAAATGGAATCAATTATATTAAAAAAACTTCTTCTTGATCTATATTTATTTGAAAATAAACTACCACTTTTAAGTGAAACAGATTTTTATTATTGTATAAAAAAAGGTTAGTATTTTAATACAATGCATTTTTGAATTTTAGCTTAGTTTAGGTTAGATAATAATAAAGATATTTTTTTTGTTATAAAACTTTTGAAATTAATAGCCTGTTAAAAATTTTTACAATTAACCAAATGTGAAATTCTTCTATTTAAGACGTAATATATATAATTCTGATCCTCATATTGTACCAATTGGCAATTATGTAATGTCAACTAAACATCTTTGGCAATTATATATTATTTACAGAGTGAAGTCTGGTTTAACTACTGATGTATTAAATCCCAAAGACAGACAATCTAATAAACTTGCTGAATGGTTTTATTCATCACATATCTTAAGAGGTATATTAGCTTCACTGATTATATAAAATATTTAACTTTTATTTTTTTAATATTAATTTGATAATCTTAAACTAGCGATTTCTGAACATACTTAAAATATAATAATGATACTTTTTATGGAGATGCGTTATATCTTTTTTTCAGGCATGCTTTTAGAAGCATGGAAATCTAAATAATGGTACATATTGATCGAATAGCCTATGCTTGGTCCAGAACTATATTTTTTGCAGCTACATGGAAATATAATAAAAATAATCTAGCTAAACATAATTCCAAAAAATATGGAATTTCCTAGTAAATAAAGATGATTTTCTTTATCTCAGATGTATATTAATTTTATTAATTAGTTATTTTCTACAAGCATATGTTGATGTTTCTTTGTGCCCTTGCTTAATTTTTACAGCATTTTTAGAACATATTTTTGGATATGCATGCAGATTAATTGAAGATTTTACATTATTAGATTTTTTAATAATTAATGAAAAAATTATTAAAAATATCAATATTGAAATGAAAGGTAAAAAAACTATTTAAAAAATTTTAAGAAAAAATTACTAATGCTTGTTATTTTAGGATCTATTAAACATCACAACAGTAATGATGGCTATAATATACGTCTTGGATCAATTAAAGAATCATTAGATTCTGAACTATTGTTGTTTCTGACAGAATTTGAAATTGGTAATATGTTAGAAAAGGTAACTAAAAACTATAAGTTAAAAAAAATAAATTAAATTAAATTTATTTAGAATTCACCGAAGATGAAATTCGCCACAATGTTTTAAAGTTAAAATTAGACTTTAAGTTAGAGTTTAAGTTTTAAATTAAAGCAGAGACTGGAGTTTTGAACATTTGTACTTAGTATGACAAATACTGATCAACATATCTGGTTAATTTCATCTCCAGTGAACATTAAAATTTGCAGAATAAATTATTCTAATTTGTTAAATATAATAAATCTAATAGGTTTTAATGGCTATGCATAGAGTTTTAAAATCAGTTGGCATAGATTTTTATCTCATGAATATACACAGATTGTTTGAGAATGCTTTAACTGTCAACACAACTTTGTAAATCATGAGGATAGATTTTTAGATGAAGAAAATAAAGAAGTAGAAACAGGTTTAATTCATGATAATATCTCTGAATTAGCTGTTGAAAAACTACTATATTCACATCAACAAAGGCTTACAGCACGTCAAAATCTACTTGATAAATATGATTTTGCTACTTCTAATTCTGAAATTTATAATTCAAATAATGATAACATGTTTGATGGTTTTAATAAATACAAATCTTCATTTTTTGAATTAATGAATTATTATATACGATTAAAATCTTTAGATCTTATTAAAATTATAAAAGAGATAGTGCAATATAGAGGTAAATAAATTTAAATTAAAGTTAATATTTAAAGTTGGGATTAAAGTTTTGGAGGGTTTTTGGTGACGTCAAACATTTTTATTTAGAACACCTCACAACAATTAATTATCCAGTTTTTATATATATATATAGGTGTAAAATATTATAAGGGAGTTTTAGTTAAAGTAATTAAATTAATGCTAATTAATTTTATTATAGAAAAATTTGATGAGTACACTCTTAAAGAAACACGAAAATTCAATTCAACATTACGAAACTTTCAAAATTTTACAATTGATACACCAGATGAAATTCTTAATATAGAAACGCTTTACGACTTGAACAAATAAATTCTACAGAAAGATCTACCTCACGAACTAAAGGCCGTCTTGCTCAATGGACAAGTGCATATCAAAAAATATTTAGTATCACAAATCTTAAATTAGAAAATGTGCATTATGCAGCTAGCAATTTTCATTTTTATATTTGTAATGAAAAAATTTTTATAGCAGAAATTCTTGTTGTGTTTAAAGTAATTATAGCTGTTACTTATTATTCAGATAGTTATTTTGCAATAGGCTATTTACCCAGTATTAATAAAATTAGGGCTAGTTTTTGGTTAATTGTAAATATATATTATCAGTAAATTATTATCTTGTGTGATAACTGATAAATGGCTTGTTGGTAAAATAACTATCGGAAAAATTATTTATAATCTATAAATTAACTAAACAAAATATTTATAGAAACATGGTACATCATATCATCAGGCTGAATCTTTGAATGGATTAAATGCTAATCGTATACATGCAATTTTATATGAATAAGATATTTTAAATCAACATGAATTTTATCATATAGTGAACCCATTAATAATTCAATATGCTATTGAAGAATATCCTTTCTGTTTTATTCATTCCTTGGGCAAGGTTGAAGTTAAAAGTAAAACAACTTCATTTTTTTTAGGCCGATATGTGATATTGTTAGCAATTCAATTACAATTATACAAAAAGTCAATAGAAGAAATTACTCAAATAGAATCTGGAGTTATAGAAGCTGAAGATTTAATGAAAAAAAATCTAGAATAGCATCAAAATCTAGATTTATAGTATCTTAAAAAAATTTTTTTATGTAATGTTCAGTGTACGAAAATCATTTATTAATAAAAATGTTTAATGTATAGTTTTATATAAAAGCTAATATATATTGTATGAGTTTATGAATTTGGTCTGTACGGAAAAGGTTCTTGGTCATGGAGGTTTGATTAATAGGTCTATATAGTATTCAGAGGTCCTGACAGCTACCTAAAATATATAAAATTATTTATATTATTTATTGCTTACTGCATTATTTGTAAATACAAAAAAACTAGTAATTTATTTTAAATAAATATATTTTTTTGCCCAGTATTTTGGTAATTTTTATTTATTTTTAAGTCTTTAGGTTATTAAATATTTATTAATTGATTTAAAATTTGGTTTGATATTTTTTAATTAATTTATACTTGTTAAAGAAGCTCAGATTAACTTAGAAATTAAAGTGTTTGCCTATATAAATTTTATTAATATTTATTTTATATTAAAATTAGAATATTACTATTTATTGCCAGTGATAATATCACCAGTAATACTATATCTAACTTTAACAAAGATTTGGACCCTTATATCTAACTCTAACCTTAGTTTAAAATTGAATCTTATCTTTAAATTTGATAAAAGAAATAGGTAGTGGTGGTACTACCACTAGCAATAAATACTAAAATTCTTAAAATTATTAAATTATAAATATATAACATATTTTATTTAATATTTTTGATAGTTATCAACATTTTATTATTGCTGAAATTTGCTTTATCATTTGTTTTATTAATTTATTTCATTATTTTTTTTATTTTTTATTTTTAATTTTTGGCAGCCTTGCCAGTATTTTTAGACCAATTTTACTATACTGTTTTTCAAATTTTCTTATTTAGAAAGATTTTAAAATGAAGCAATTAAAATTATAGTTAGGGTTGTTCAGAGGTTAGTGTTTAGACAAGTTTGCAGGTAAAATTGCTCTCCTAACATTTTTTATTAGTGTCCCAAAAGAGGTTTAGACTCTCATTTCTTGTAATTTTTGATTTTTGTTTTTTTTACTTTGTAAAAATTTTATGATTTGATTGGTTAATCTATGTAGATTACTCAATTTGATTGGTTAATTTATGTAGATCATTCAAATAAGGAAATTTAAAAAAATGGTGTGGTAAAACTGGTCATATATATTTTTTTTTTTTTTTTTCCTCACAATGTCGCGAACAGGCGAATTTTTATTAGGAATTTATATAGTACATTACTACTACCTACAATTATGCTGGCCCATAACCTCGTGCTGCTACATTTAAAGACCACCCAGATCGACATGTGCTACACTACTTGTGCCCTAATTCTAT